CTGCAATGTAGTAGTGACACGCGGGCTGCATATCCCCTGCTTCTTGCTGCATCAACACGCCATTCTTTCTGGTGAAATAAAGAATTTATTAATAGCCAGTGCAGCGGAATTCACAAGGTATTTTGGATAAAAAACATACTCCTTAAAGCCTTCAAAGTTAGTTTTTCGAAGAAGGCGTTGCAGGCAAGAACTCCGCCAGCAGTGCAAGTGCATGCAAATTGCTGAAGCAACCGGAAATCGGAGATTACGATACATTGCGAATTCTAACAAACTGTACTTTATTTTATTTATATTCCCAGAAAAGATGGGTGCGCTGACAATGCCAGAAAAATTCAATATGCTGCCTCCATGTCACCACTACATTGCAGTGAAACATGTCTTGCTTCCCGCAGGCGCACATTTCGGTTGACCACAAGACTTTTTTTTCTTTTCTTTTTCTGTGCTGGCAGTAGCAAGGCTGGGGTGCTTCAGCTGCCACTCATTAGTATCGCTATGTTGCACTGCCTTGTGGCTATTAACAGCCGTTGTTTCCACGATTTTGCGGCAAAATCGGGACCAGGAATCAGCACATGGCACCCAAAGCTTTTGAATGCACCGGACTGATGCTGACTGCCACTTCGAATTATCCTCCGATATTTGCATTGAAAAGTACGGGAGTGTGAAAATATTTTGGATTAAGCGGGATTTTGCAATAGCCAAGTTTAAATTAATGAGGCTTTATTGTAGTTCTAGTCTACTGAGAGCATGGAAAACTACACTTCCAAAAGCTCTAGAAATGACTCTTCTATGCTATTCCTAACTTATAACTCTTTTGGCTTAGGGCAGGCATTTTCCCCAATTCATGCATATAACAAAAAAAGTGGAAAGATTGTACTCTTCATAGCAGAAAAAAAAAAGTTGGCAAAAATCACCATCATGCCCACAATATACACATAAGACTGCCTGCAGAAGTAATGCCAACTAAACCATTGCATGGGACTAACATGCCAGGTATCTTGAACGTGCTGAAGATGCCTTCATACATGAGAGCAAACGAGCAGCAAATATGCAAAGAACAGAAAGATGGAAAGCAGAGTGCAAAGTTCCAGTACAAAAAGAGTTTTCAGTACACCAAGACAGAGGATAAAGGAACAAGGACAAAGACACAGCGTTCTCTCAGGTACTTAATTGTTTTTTTTTTTGTCTCAAACACAAGCTCAAAAGATGGCACTTACCAGAACACCATGTAAGTGTTCAGTATCCTTTGTGGGCAAGAACTAGCAAACAATCAGTATGTCAATTCCACTGCCTCTTTTGTCTTTACTAAGGAACACGCAACATGACAAGATAACAAAAATGAAGGGTTAGACTACAAGCGAAGAGAAGAAGAGACAAGCAAATGTGTCCAGAAAGAGGAAATTAGAAGGAAGCATCTTTCACTCTACGCACACAGATCCAAGCTGTGCTCATAAGCAGAGTGCAACTTCAGTAAACGCAAGCAAACTAAAGGAATACAAGCCAGCATAAAGAAGGAGTAAAATGCAACAAGCCTCCTGCAAAGTGATGCAACTAGATCACAACCTTGGTGTATCCTGCGTATCTGCAACTCCTTTCTTCATAAATGGCTCTTTGTATTCAAAGGAAGGGAACTCTTGCAATGGTAGCATAGGTAACTCCTATGCACAAGAACATGACTTGTATAGCTGTGTGAATGGTAATCCCTTACATTACACGGCAACATGCAATTTTGCCGCTTGCAAAATAGTACACCAAAAATAATTACCGGACAAGTGACTGCCTAGCTGTTCTGTGCTAACTTATCATGCTTTTTATGAACTGCCACTAATTCCTGCAAAGACACTAGAACTAAACAGCAGTAAATAGGAACATTTTCTGCTGTTACTAGGATACAATCTAGGCAGGAAAGAAGAAAAAAGAAGTAGCAGATTTCATGTTCATAAAAAAAAAAAAGACTGTTCAAGCAATAATGAAAGATTCATAAAATGAAAAGCAGACAGGCATCAAATTCTACCTGAACAGCTCAAGAATAATCAGGCAGTTTTAAGCTAATTAGCATGTACTAACAAAAAAGTAATGTAGGCTGAATGGCTAGAAAATGGTGCAACTTATTACATGTGGCATAAACTAAAGGTAAAAAAAAAGCACACTTCTCTAAGGATGCAAAGGAAAGTTTTTTTAAAAAGCTAGTTATCACATGATTGCATTTTTTTCCCTTTAAATCACACCTATGTGCTTTTCAATGAAAGGTATTATTAAAAGAATTAAGTTAAAGAAAAAAGGAGATTGCAAGAAAGTTCGATGATCATCAATAACTTTCAGATGAAGTTTCATGGTAAAAACACATAAAAAGTAATTTTCTACAAATTATTCTACCAGCAGAAATGGATACTAAAACATGATTTCTTTATATATTATCATTTTTGCCTATCAGTACAGCCGCTTGCACTTTTAAAGGATCACCAAAATGCCAAAGGCACTCGTACCAATACCTGAAATTTCAGTACACCGCACAGGAGGTACTTTTTATGCCTTGACTGTTCTTATTAGAGAACGCAATGGTAATAAAAAGCTCCAACAACACTTTCATCTGCCTTGAAATCAACTGAAATGCAGCAAGTGTCCCAAGATATAAATGGCAAGACACACACACATGGTTCAAATAGCTGCATGTTATTAGTCCCAGAAACCTTTCCATCAGAACTTGTACAAGACCTAAAGAAAAGGGAACTTGTGGACAATGCTAAGAAATTTCTCCCACAAACTGAACAACCATGCAACTTGCACGTGCCAGTCTCAAACACAAGACTTCAAAAATCTGTCAACATTTCGGTAGCATATTAACCCCTCAAGTGTTTTATTTTTAAAAAATTTCCCAACCAAAAGTGCCTATGTTTTTTTTATATATGCAATTTTGAATCATGCAGTACTAAAAAGCAACAATGCGATGTCGAAAAAGTGCGTCATATGTGATGTTGCACTAGGATTGTCGACATAAAGCTGCACCGATTGACGAGCGCTCACAATGTTTACTTCAGAGGTATTTCACCACCAGTGGAAGTGTTCAATTCAAAGTCATCAATTTCATCTGCACTTCTGGACACAAGATAAACATAGTATCCGCATCACCTTCATTGAAAGAAGATGAAAAGCTTATTTTTCAGTTTGACAGGCCAGCTTTGCATGTGCTGTCACTACTGGATACCATGTTTTCAGAAGAAAACTGCGTCCTACCACAGGAGAAACAGAAATCGCCAAGTATATGCTTCCATTTGATGGTTGATACACAATCTAAGTAGCAAACGAACGCTTCTCATTCGAAACACTTAAGGGGCTAAAGTGAAGAGCACACTGCACTGTAATCCACAATGTTTTATATAGTTGTGATAGCGTGGTGGGTGCCTTAAACAAACTGGAGGAGAGACTGCTGTCACCTCTCAGTGTCAAGCATGTCCAACTCATTTTGTTGTTTAGAACTTGTCTGTAACTTGCCATATTTACAGTGCTTATAGACCACTAACCACCATTACGTGCCTTTAATGCTATCTGCTAAGCAGAATATGGTTACTCATTACAATTACAATGCTAGTGGTGCTATGCTACTAAGTTGATTGATTGATTGATATGTGGGGTTTAACGTCCCAACCTATGCTACTACGTACAGAATAGTTGATTGTTACAATTATAGCACAAGTGGTCTTGCTAACTCGCGCATAACTTGGCATCACAAGATGGTGTATGCCAGGACTTCTGCTTGCATGCAAGTCTTAAGCATTCCGCTTTATCTTCTACCACGTTCTTTTTTTTAATATATAGATTTTTTTAAATAAAAGTGTTATGGCCACATAGCCATATCATGAAATTCAATAATAAATAAGTAAAACTGATTTCTATTCCTCAAAAAAAGTATGCTATAAATTGCGATTCCCTACTAAAATTTTGTATGATCTGCCCTCAAGCAGTAAAAACTTTACATGCATTTGTAGATCAGTCTTTTCAAAGTAACTTTAGCAGTGGCCACTATTTCTGCCTCAACATACTGTTTATCTTCAAAAACAACAGATGCCATACTGTCATAGCATTTTTATAAAAGATCTGTACTGTATAAAAAAAAGAATTGTTACCACAATGGCTTCCTGCTTCTTTCAGAGAAGCAGCCCACTCAACTACACCATGAGGGAACCTAAAAAATTCAGCTAAGCACCTTAGGTTGGAATTTTTAAAGACTATGCCCCTAGCCAGGGACTCCCTGTTACCAAACTTCAGCTAACATATGTAGAATGCAATATTGATTACCTCAGAAACTTGAAGCCTTACAGTATTTGTGAGGAAGAAAAACACTTGAGAATGAGCAAGTGTTATTACTTTAACCAAGGTTAATTTTTGCTTTTTTCGAATGCAATTTACAAACACGTGTACCAATAAAACCTAGGTCTTGGAGATTTTTGTATTGGCAGCATTACAGTACACAAGAGTTTACACTATGAAACCCGCGGTGAAAAGAAATTACACAAGTAGCAGAAGAAGTATAGTTTTATTTAGTGCTCCTTGCTAGTCAGGACATAAGAGTGAATAGCTACAAAAGTGTGCTAAGCCTACTTGCAGCACTGCCCACTTTTTTAATACTGTCCATATATATTTGCAGTTAACATATGCTGACCTTGAGCATAACTAGTGTTTCATCTAACAAGATACTTGGGTCCCAAAACTTGACCGCAAACTGAATCAGATCTACACAGTTCAAATTCCTTGTACATCAATACAGAAAAAATTGAGCAGTGATTATGAGGGGTCTTGCCTATAACGAATGTATTGGTGTTTTATTAAAAAGTAAGAAGTAAATAACTATAGGGTGTTTTATCTTATATAACCAATTTGCTAGTCCTTATGAACTGTTGGAATATAGCAATAAAAAAGTTTCACTTTTCTGCGATCTCGAGCAGTGTCTAAGAAAACACGTTATTGGGCACTCTTGAAATCCAGAAACAAGTATGCAGACTCACTTGTTGGATCTGCCATGACCTGGCTCCCCAGTGCCTCCTACACCAGCAAGCTTTCGGCAACGGTAGTTTTCATAGTGGACACTGTTTGTGATGTCCTTCAGGTCCTGCATGTGAGTCCTAAGGGAAAAAAATATTTCTTTCATCTCAAACCGGTTGAATCTACATGCATATGTTGTTGACTTCACATTGCTGATTGTTTGCCACTGCTGTCATGCTAAAAGGTAGCTGTGGGCCTTTGTCAAGCTGCCTCTTTTGGAGAGCAGCTTTTACCTGCAGCTGTCTTTCATCAAACTATTGATAAAAAATAAACATTATTATTATTATTATTATTATTATTATTATTATTATTATTATTATTATTATTATTATATGCTCCATCGTGTTGCATATGCTCAACACAACAAGACTAATATTTTTACCGCTGCATGTCTTCCTGATGGAAAAGCAAAAAATCCATTAACGAAAATATGTCTGATGGGGTCATTTGAATCGTTACACAGAAGCCTTACAAATAAAGCTACTATCTGAAAATTAGCACAACTATTCAACATTATAGTTGCACCACTTCAAGTAGAAATTTCCGTTTCCATTGTGGTGTATTTAGAGTTTTCTCGAAAAGTTTGCAAGAGTCAAGACAAAATGAACTTAGATGTTAAGAGCCCCTGAAAAAAATCCTATATATATCATGTACTATTACAGACAAAAAAACAAACTATTGAAATGATTGTGAGTTCTTGTAAGCGGTACAGTGCTTGAAATGACTTTAAAAAATGAAAACTTCAGCAATGACTTACAGTTCTGAATTCTTGACTCTGAAAAGTTACCAATATGCAACAGCAAATATGTTGATAGTTTACTGTGGCAAACACAAACATAGTTGAATCATTTTAGAGAATTTCCATAATACATAGCAATTACAGCACAGAAACCAAATAATAAAATAGATATGCAATTATTTCATACCTAACAAGCATATTCCTCAAGGCAATATAGTCACAGTGGTCCATGTTCTCGACTGAAATATAAGACACATGGATAAGAAATTCAGCGTCTGACAACGAAAAATAGAAGAAATTCCATTAGAGAAGTGCGAGAAAATGGGGAATTTTTATGGACTATTTGCAATTGGTCCATAAATATCAGATAGTCGCCATGGTGAATGAGCCTTAAGGATGACACGCAAGTACCATACACATGATTCAGGTGAAGCTGTACCTGAAAAACGCAATATGTATAGTCCTTGATATTACATTTTTGTGGTGAACAGAGTGTAGAAGAAAGCCTGCAAAGTGAACAGGGAAAGAGTTATATATACATGTATTTGCTTTCATAGTACCATGTGATCAGAGTGGTTTTCTTGGCAACATGAATAATCTGCACGTCGCCCTATTCGAGATGATGAGACACACAGACTCTTCTGTCGTATGAATGTGTGCAGCCAAATATAATTAATCTTTTGTTACGCTAGTTGCTTGAAGACTTTTCGGACGGTAAAAAAGTTGCAAGGCACGGACGTATGCAGGGACTTTGATGTATCAAAATTAGTAAGCATCTCGCGAGTACCCCTGAAAAATAAGGAAAAATTTACTGCATGCAAATGATTTAGAGATAGCAGTCTTCCTTGCTTAATGCTGCTTAATGCTTAATTCTGCATGTACTATTTGCGTCAAATGAAACTCGAACTGAAACAAGCCTTCGCGACAATATAGTGCGCACCATCCAATTATCACCATTGACAGGCAAGCGCATCCTTTTCAGTAGCTCTATGTGTGCCTGTCCATGGCGATAAGTGGACGGCGCACACTATACCATCGCGAAGGCTTGCCGCTGTTCAGGTTTCATTTGCTGCTGATAGTACAATTACATGCGGATAAAAACTGGAGCAACAAACTACCAAAGTAGTAAAGCAAAGTAATGACTACCCCAAGAAAGGGAAAATAGACAACCACCCGTACGTGGCATGAAGCCAGAAAAAAATCCACACAAATTTCCCAGAAAGAAAGAAAAAATTTACTGCATGCAAATTATTTAGAGACATAGTATTCTTCCCTCTTTGAGATGTTTGAGATAGTATTCTTCTATGTTTGAGTTTTCCCCTTCCGAGAAATCCATACGGATAATTTGTGGCTTCGTGCCTAATACAGGTGGTTGTCTATTTTCCCTTTCTTAACCCTTCCGCCACCTTGCATGTCTCCGCAGAACTCATTTGCATTAATGACTACCTTGTACAAGGTGCTATAAAGAGCTCCGGTTAAAAGCTATCTCTGCCGCTTGAAGCAGAATTGGAACCAAGCTCTTGGAAAGCACAAAGTGAAATGCACTAATCTAATTTGTCTACAGCCTTTACTATAATCAAAAAGTCTCACCTTCGGCTACACCCCAAGGATACTTGCGGCCCCTGACTCTCCGCCCATTCACTTCAACCACTGTATTGCTGCCTACAACGGCAAAGGGTACACGTTCCTGGAAAGAAGGTAGAAACTGCAGTAACAGTTGTGCACATCCTGCTAACTCTGCAGGCTTTGATTGAATGCTTGATTCCATATCGCTGTTTTCCTTAAATGGCATCCACGTTTAACAGCATGCTATTCAATATATTTTGATAAATGTGCTTTTGATGCGAGCACAGTAATACATTTTACTAAGTTTGAGGATGCAAAACTATGTAGAAGATAATGCATGGTTAGATCTATATATTGTTATTTCCTTTTATTTCGTGCTTTTTGTAAAGTCAGCAGTGAATAAAAAAGCACATAACCATGCAACAACTCCAGGTTCCTATGACTGACTTTAAATGCAGTAGAAAGTTAAGGTTATTAAAGTTGAATTTACAGGTGCAAAATTGAGTAAGGCTGTGCTATGTCAGCCAAAGGGTGATAAAATATCCCTCGTAAATGAGGCATATGCTGCAGTACCTGAAGCTCATTGAAAAAAATCTGCTTCATCTCAAAAAAAAGTTCACAGTGTATCCATGGCTTGAATAATTATGAGTGGGGCGAAGCGTCCGTCTGTCTGTGTGGCAGACAGATTAACTAACAGATGCTTTGGCTCACTCATCATCATTCTGTATAAAAGACAGATGATGGATGGATGCTTCACCTCACTCATCATCATTCACTCCATGAATATCATAGAGTTTCTCGCAAAAGTACCTAGAGGGAAGAGGGAAGTGTGATGCCACTGTCTATGCGAACTTATTAAGAGGCCCAGTTGGAGCGCTGGGAATGATGGTATATGTGTCTGCGAGGCTTGTGTTGGCTTATGTTGAATGAGACCTCGACTCAGAAGTGAACATGACTGTGTAAATAAAGCGTCTCTAAAACTAAATGTTTAAATGCGAATCTCATTCATGCGTAATATATTCTAAAATAACAGTCCATTTACCTTGATGGCACAACCAAATGGTGAAAGAAACAGACATAAAAATGGCAGAGAGAACGCTCGCTTTGTCGTCTGCCTGCCAAGTTTCGCGGCCGTTGGTTACTTCTTATGCTTCATAAAATTGTATATTGTGGAGTCTCGATGTTGTGAGTGCCACCGCGATCTTGGATTGAACGGACACAGTTGACACGGTCAGAAGAAACCAAAACAACAACCATTTCTTTAGATACTTTTAGAACAACGATGATATTGTCAGCCGAATTATTATAACATCAATCGTGATCAACATACTAAGACATCCTTACACAATATTAAACAACACTTGACCACACATACAAACAAGGCAGTGTCACTAACGCCTGACTCACCACGTGGGCCTACCACAGACTGCCTGCGGTACCGTCCACGGCAGACCCACCGCTAGAGGCGACCATTCGTGCTACTGCCCCACACCAAAAAAGACTCACTTTTTTCTTGCGCGCCGCCACCAAGGCGTATCGCCAGCGCTAAAGTCTTCTTACCATGATGATGATGATAGCGGCTACGCTTGCGAACACAACGCCACATACCGCTGATTACTTGTGACCCCAAAATACGGCTTCTGCACGAGACACATGCGCCACGCGGCGCAAACAATTTTACAGGGAGTGTCAACACCCCCACATTTTTTTTAACTTTAATTCAAACTATATCCCGAAAAAACACAGAAGAAATCAGCTGCACAAGCTCTTACGAAAAATGACAACACATGTCCCTAAAGAACGTTTGTGCACGGCAACACCGCCGCCGATCGACAGTGCTGAACTGTCCGGCTCGACGACTTCACCTCAGTACCGGTCCCCGCAACAGCAACGTTGCCATTGGCGTGACAAACCGTCACTCACCCCGAAATGTCTTCCGGCTGCAACCAGCCCTCACGATGGCGCTGGACTGCAGGCAGTTGCGCAGGTCCCAGGCATCTCCGTTGCCCGACCTCATGACCGCATTCCTGGCCAGCGGCGCCGACGATGTGCAAAAGATATCTAGCCGCGGGCTACATAACTCCCGCCGCGTATATTCAAAACACCCGAAAGAACAATGCAGTAGGGCAAAGGGAAGGGAGCTTCGGGCTCCTCGCCCACGTGGTACGATGGTCAGTACTGCTAGTTAATACATCGGCGGCGGCCGAGATGCCTAGCTAAAATAAAAACAAAGGTCGCGTTTGCTAACCCATGCATCGACGATCCACCTAGTTGTGCCACGTGTGACAGGCGGCTGTGCAGAGCCTTAGGCCTAATGAGTCGCTTGACAACAACCGGCATCCACCAAGCACCCGGCCCAGGCACAGAAGACGCAGCCGTAAGGAGACATCCACTTTGGAAGGTGGGCCTATCGCTTGCCGCACACAGCAGCTTACCGAGCGATCGGCGCCCGCCTTCCCGGGCGGTGTCAAGACGCCCCGGCGTCGAGCTGCAATACCAGACAGCAACGACGCCCGACTCCCTGAGCCCACAAGAGATAGAAGAAGCTTTTTACAGAAAATCTGACCACCTACGAGGCTTCCGTACTCATTCGCTTCGAGCTTGGCCTACAATCCACGTGCTCTAAGCTTTGCTCACCCCAGGATGCAGATCACATGGCTCTCGTCCCAACTGAACGTTCTTAAAAACCCACAACAACAACAACAAAAAACCACTTGCGAGCAGAAAAAAAACCGCAACGTGCCGACAAGTTCAAACACGTCACAATAACCGATCTCCTCGCTCTCAACAAAGCATACCGCCGACGCTAGCCAAGAAGTTCCCCTAGGCCTACTCCACCCCGGCTCTAACAAAAGCTTAGTTTATTCTGAACAACATTCGTTTGATGCTCCAAGAGCTCCACGTCGGGCAGCCAGTGTGGGGTCTTGATGTGGAGAGAGAGCACCACCACGCTCTTGTAGTGAACGGACACAGCAGACACGGTCAGCATAAACCAAACCAACAGACATTTATTTAACTACTTTTAGAAACGACGATATCGTCAGCCGAATAATTTTACATCAATCGTGATCAACACACTAAGACATCTTTACACAATTAAATTAAACAACACTCATCAACACATACAAACAAGGCGGTGTCGCTAAAGCATGACTCACCACGTGGGCCCACCGCAGACAGCCTGCGGTGCCGTCCACGGCAGACCCACCGCTGGAGGCAACCGTCCACGCCACTGCCCCACGCCAAAAGAGACTCGCTTATTTCTTGCGCGACACCACCAAGACGTGCCGTGCCGCTGCCGGCGCTAACGTCTTCTAACCATGATGATGATGATAGTGGTGGTCAACTCTCGTGAACACGCCACCTACCGCTCAATAATTGTGACCCCAAAATACGTGTTCTGCGCGAAACACGTGCGCCACGCGGCGCAAGCAACTTTACAGGGGGTGTCAGCACCCATTTTTTTTAACATCGACGCAGAAGATTCCAGTGTTAAATAAAACACGTTTCTATGCAATGACAAAAATAAATAGCCTATTACGTGCTCTTGCAGTAATAAATCAATAATGTTAATGTGAATCCAGATGCGTCTTTGAGGTATACAAATTTAAGTCAAGTTCATATTCACATATGCTGTCATTCCTTTGCATCCATAAGCTCACTAGCGCCAGATCTCCCTATAGGTAAGTTTGTGAGAAACTCTATGGTGAATAAGCTGTGAAGTTCTTCATTTAACAGCACCATCTATACTCTTTAATCATCAACTATACGAAAACCATTAACACCATCTAGTGATATTTCCAAGGATATCCATACACCACGCTCTCTAGTGAACAATTCTTGAAACTATCTAGAAAACTATCTAGAAGTGGCTGCTACTACAACCTACTACCCCGAGGGAACAACCCACACCCTAAGGAGCATCTCCCCTAAAAACTGGCCACAACAGTCAGCACATCATCTCTTGAAGTTCAGACTGAGTGCAGAGGTATATGTGTACTTTAACAGTACATGAATGCACTTTTATTCACACTTCTGGACATATGGACACATAATGTGTAAGCCTATTAGTGGCTCATGGCATTGATTACATAATGGTTGCTACTCTTCCATCAGTAAATAAGCGTGGTATGTGTGTACGCCCATCGAAAGTTGAAAAATAAGTGCTTTGATGAATAATTCTAGATAACATGTCTTCGATTCACAAAATACAGGTTCACTGAATTGATGTTCATTACTCTCTCTGAATTTTTACCCGTGCTGCCTGTTAGAAGTTAGTCATCTGCAAATAAATCAAATCTTTAGCAGGTATACACTCAAACCTCTTCATAATGAAGTTGCACCTCACATGAAAATTAGTTTGTTATATCGAAACATTTGTTATAAAGGTATATTCATAACACTATATAGTGAAGACTATTCTTCACTTACATCATTACTACCGAGACTTCGTATAGCGAGGTTTGAGTGTATTAGACCGTTCATTTCTGTTGCGACCTAGCCACGAAGGTGTCTTGTCATGGACTGCCATTTTTGCGACCCGGCATCACACTGATCTTTTCACTGCTCTGCTTGCGTACGGAACGAACTAATCTGCTGTCATTACCGCCAGCGAAGCCAGAGTGGCAACATGTAATGGGTCCCCAGAAGTGAAATGGCAGATCAGCATGCACCAAGGACAGTTAGAACTCCTAGATACAACGAACCCAGCTGTCAACAAAATATATAACAGAAAAATTGTTACCTTAAGTGGCTTTTGTAGTTTGCTCTCTTCTTCGTCTTCTGGATCAGGAAATTCATAAAGACGGATTTTGTTTTGCGTGATCTCATTCAAGATCTGTTGCAAAAACCAAAAGGAACACATTAGAACCACATATGCACACACAAACATGTACATGTATGTGCAAGAATGAAAACAGCATGTGACGTGTCATTTTCTGTTGTGAATTGAGGACAACAATGATATCCTAAGTACGTGCACAAATTGCATACAAACAGTGCAAAAGAGAGAGAAACTGCTTTATTCCAGGTCAGACTGCTCATTCCAGGTCAGACGGATTCCAGGTCAGATGATGCGAGATGAAGAGCTGGTTCCATGTCGTACTTTTTTCCATGTGCTTCAATAGTGTGCACCACATTTGCTTTGTATTATATAAACTTTGCACCAAAACAAACATTATCACCTTATTTACACAATATTAAGCTTAGTATGTGATAAGTGCACAATGAATTTCACACCGATAAAGTCATTTCTAATAACCTTAAAAGTGCATAATGAATATTCCAATAATAAATTTTTACCACCTTAAAACTTACTCAGATTGCAAATAAAAAAATACAAAACTAAAGGTCATGCGACAAGAATGAAGCTGCTATTACTGAGCTGTCCTGGAAGACCCAGAACTTCTAAGTGAAATTTTTTTGGGGAAAATAAAGTGTGTTGGCATTGCATTGTACATTATTTAATGGAGAACTATGTGATCTACAAAATAATACATATAGTTTTGCAATTTTGCTACCCTCTGCATTCTTTACCGGTTATTAAAATGGTGTGTAAAGCTGAGCTGCCAGAACAATAGACACTGCTTGGGAGATTTGTGAAGTTTAAGGCGAACAAGTGATGGCTCTTAGAACAGTTGAAGATTGATTTAGGTGCTTCAAATATAGAAATTTTGACCTCAAAAACATGCACGGTACAGGATGCCAAACAGCCCCATTCTGTTAGATGAAAAGGAACTGAATAAACTTATTCAAGAAGATCACGCCAAAAGGCTGAGGTATCTGCAGCAATCATGGAATGCTCCCGCAGTACCAAAGAGTGCAACCTTTCCTACCAACTCGCTCGTTTGGCACGCATTTTTGTGAATAAGCTGATCAACTTAGTTTCATTGATCAGGACGAAACGAAGGGGCATCCAGAGCGACGCAAGTTTTTCAGGTCAAAATAGCAGCTCCCAAATCTCAGCAACCTAAGAGGCATTGCTTCTTTTCCATACACTTCACAAATCTCATGAGAGCATTTGTAGGTTTGACACCTCAATTAAATGCAAAAACCAGGTGTTGAATGTGCTTTCTAGTAGACTCCCCACTCAATTTGACAAGTTGAAAAGAACAAAAGGAACTGCTGTATTAAAAGCTAAAAATATTACTTTGTATGCAAAATTGCTGCTTAAAAAAATATGACAGAGATTCTGGGCCAACCCAACAGTAATAGTAAGCTAGCAACAGTGATGTTTCTAAAATTCAAGGAGAAAATTCAATACAGTGTTAGTTAATGGCACATAAAATACAACAAAAACTCATTAATGCAAAATCAAAGGGGACATTAAATTGCTTGAATTAAGCAGGGTTCCAATTACTGGGTAGACACTAAAATGAATAGATATCACATCACATTGTGCAGGAAGAATTTAAAGAAGCCTCCCATACACTTCACAAATCTCATGAGAGCATTTGTAGGTTTGACACCTCAATTAAATGCAAAAACCAGGTGTTGAATGTGCTTTCTAGTAGACTCCCCACTCAATTTGACAAGTTGAAAAGAACAAAAGGAACTGCTGTATTAAAAGCTAAAAATATTACTTTGTATGCAAAATTGCTGCTTAAAAAAATATGACAGAGATTCTGGGCCAACCCAACAGTAATAGTAAGCTAGCAACAGTGATGTTTCTAAAATTCAAGGAGAAAATTCAATACATGTTAGTTAATGGCACATAAAATACAACAAAAACTCATTAATGCAAAATCAAAGGGGACATTAAGGAACTAGTCGTTCAGGAATTAAGCAGGGTTCCCATTAATGGGTAGACATCAAATGAATAGATATCACATCACATTGTGCAGGCAGATTTAAAGAAGCCTCCATGGACTTACTCAAATAGGCATTATTCTCGGGCCAGTATTTGGGCCAGAGCTTTGATAATTACGTTTGTGGGAGGTACACAGAGAGCAATAAATTGATCAGTCAGTAAAATCAGAAACAAGTATACACAGTGCCTTCATGTGACAGTGAGCCTATGTCTGAAATACCGTTATAACCCGAATTTAAGTAGAGCTATTGTTCAAAGCAATAGTAATCAAGGTATTTTTAAATTAGCCTCTGTATTTATAGCGCCGTTTGTTCTAGCGAAAAGTGCGGCACTTCTGTATGGCAACATGTGGCTTGCATGTGCTTGTGAAGCCGGACGCGGCCATATCCGCATCGAAATCCAATCGCAGTCTGTTCTTTTTTATCTCAGTCTGTGTTCTGTGTGTTCGTGATTTGCTTCCGAATCTGTCTGAGTTTTCGCTCCGCTTGACATTGCGCTGCATTCTTAGTGGCCTTTTTTTTCGTTCACTGAATATGTCTAGCGGTGCGAGGAGGCAGTACTCAGCTGCATTTAAACTAGATGTTGTTGGGTTCGCAGAAGTGAACAGGAATATGGCCGCTCAGCGCCGCTTTGGTGTATCGGAAAAAAGCGTGCGTTATTGGAGAGCGCAGAAAGGGAAGCTGCAGATGTGCAATCCTCGAAAAATGTCGTTTCCTGGACGAAGTGCTGTTCATCCGCAGCTGGAGGATAAGCTAGCGGACATTGTGCGGGAAGTTCGTGCGCGCTTGCTGCCAGTGACCATGGATACCATTCGCAAGAAAGCCGTTGAACTCGCTCGAGAAGCTGAGCTCACGAGAGAAGAGTTTCGTGCACCGCACTCTTGGGTGCGTCGATTTATGCGACGCAAAGGATTTTCTCTCCGGAGGAGTTCGAGGACAAGCTCATAAACTTTCAGCACTTCGTGAACCGGCTTCAGGAGCAGAACGACTACATGATGGGACAGATTGGCAATGCCGATGAGACCCCCGTGTGGTTTGACATGCCTTCGTCAACCACGATCACGCAGCGCGGCGCCAAGGATGTGAAGCTGTTGTCCACTGGCAACGAGCACTCGCACTTCACCGTCATGCTGGCATGCATGGCAGATGGTAGAAGGCTTCTGCCCTTCGTCATTTTCAAATGCAAGACAATGCCGAAGGAAGTGTTTCCGCCCGGTGTTGTTGTTCGCGTCAACAAAAAGGGATGCATGGACGTGGCCGTGATGCTTGAATGAATACGAGTGGTGTGGAACCGTCGGCCAGGTGCACTGCTGCGTAATCGCAGCATGCTGGTGTTGGATGCGTTTCGTGGCCACTTAACCGACGCAGTGAAACGCACACTTGACGGGAAAACGGACCTCGCCGCGGTACCAGGTGGTATGACGTCCACCCTCCAGCCGCTCAACGTTGCGCTAAACAAGCCGTTCAAAGACCGAGTGCGGGTGGAATACCAAGAGTGGATGTCCGGCGACAACCCCAAGACACCGACGAGCCGCCTACAGAGGCCTCCACTTGCGACTGTTTGTGGCTGGGTGCTTTCCGCCTGGCGCTCCTTGCCCGATTCCATGATGGAAAATGCTTTCAAGAAATGTTGCATCAGCAACTCGCTGGATGGCACTGAAGACGACGCACTGTGGGAGGTGGCCAGCGACAGACACTCGTCTTCAGAAGACAGTGGTGCTTCGTCGCACGAATAGGAGCAGTTGCGATGGTGGTTGAGGGGAGCTCCGACGATCGGGGTACGGTGCGCTCAATTCGCAAATAAATGTGGTTCAGCAGTTTTGGGTTGTTTGCCTTTTTCTTCTTTTTCTGTAACCTGAACTTGGGGGGTCGACCTATATTCCCACTCTACCTATAGTCCGGTTTATACGGTATATGAAGCTATTTATGCTCAAAATAGATTTCCATAGCCAAGTTAACACAAGAAACATTAAAAGTAATCAGCAATTTGAATTCACTTGCGTTTCTTCAGTTGTGATTCCAAGAGCATTGTTTTGTACCTTGCCTAAGAAATTCAGCACAGCATCCAAATTATGATCTGCTGAGAAAAGCCACAGTTTAGATGTCCTGCATCTCTAGCTTTGATATTTTTGAAATTGAATTCAAAATAGTTAATTTAATTTGCTTTAGTTTCGCAAAACATCGTGATCACTCAGGGCCGACTTCTGTGAGGAGCGATGAAAACTAGGGGTTCCCAGTTTGAATTAATCATTGTAGATATCAATGCATTTAAATTATCGGGCACAGTTACTTTAACCTTGGCATAAAAGTAGTATATGCATCACAGTTTCAAGGGTGTAGACGGTGCAAGAAAAGCTTAACTTCTACAAAACTTATGCACACAGCCCAGCCTTTCATAGAGTTGACTGGTCAGATGTTTTTCTTTACTCTTTCACAGGGCACAGCGAAACGCATTTGAAATTTCAGTTTTTTCCTGTTCTGTTTTGTAAAACTAATGCCGAGAAAACTGATAACTGCAAGAAAACTTGTACCAGTGCCCACAACAAAAAAATAAAGGTTAACAGTAGTCTCTTGAAGTGCTAGCACACCCAATGCAAGCTGCAATGAGCATGTGCTGGCTACGGCATGGCTCCCGAGAGAAAGTAGAACAATATCCGCCATTCCAACAGCATGTATATTCCAATGCTTCCTTCCTGGAGCAATAATACACTGGTCTGAAGAGCAATGTGGACCGTCTTCACCCATGTGCTTCACCAAGACATGGTGCTGCTGCACTTTTGCAACTGTTCTCATTTATATTTTTCACACTGCAACAATAGCTGCACGGTGGGCCAGCATAAGGAACATGAGCGGAAGCAAGGAATTGTACTAGTTCGAGAATGGGAAAGATGTTTGTTTTTGGAATGTGTAAGCGAGCACAGTGCAAAATCACTAAGGGAAGGAAAAAGGGGAGTGAAAAAAAAAACCTTAAGAAGTGGCCACCTTCTCAAGATTTGGGTAGCCACAACACCAAGCACCAGGCTAGAATCTCTCTTGCTCTTAGATGAACTGGTTTGGTGCTTGGCGGTACTGGAAACCAAACCCAGAGCCTACCGCATTGGAGGATGATGCTCTAGTCGCTCAACCACTGCTGTAGTACAGGGTTTTCGCTATGCTGAAATAACGAAATGCTCCCCCCCCCCCCCCCCCCCCCCCCCCCCCCCCCCCCCCATATTTGCTCCAGAGCATTAGGGCGATGCTTGCCCACTGCAACTTGTACTGAATGCCATAGCACATAACTATGCCAGAGCAGCACAAAATAATGGCAAATAATTTCAAAAACTAGCCTACTGCTGGAACACTAAACAATCTTAGAAAATGTAGGTTAAATTGATTCTCACCGTTCGCTTGAATAAACTGCACTCCTCTGGCGTCATAGTGTCTGCTTTAGCAATCACAGGAATGATGTTTACTTTGTCGTGCAGCCGCTTCATGAATTCTATATCCAGAGGTTTTAACCTGCAATATCGAGATATCCAGAGGTTATATTGCAGGAGTCACTTGCAGATTGTATAAAAATAGTTGCACCACAACCATCAAATCAAGATATAGCCATTCAGAAGTGATTGACTGATTAATACGAGGAGTTTAACGCCCTAAAACCACCATATGATTGTGAGAGACGCCATAGTGGAGGGCTCTGGGAATTTCGAGCACCTGGGGTTCTTTAACGTGCACCGAAATCCAATGAAAAGTCAATAAACAGTACCTACTAAAAGGCAAGCAAAAGAGAAAACACTACCTGCAGTGAGAGCTTCACATAAATGCTGCTGTATGTAGAATAAACTAAGCAACTCAAGCTGCCTGCTTGGCACTGAAATAGTATAAGTGACCAGAAAGGCTGCAGTACTGACCCATGTCCTGACGGTGCAATGAAGTAAAGACAACAGTGAACTCTGTTATCGGGCAATGTTGTCCGATGTACTCGTGATTCTGCATCGAGGTACTCTGCATACTTTGCTTCGATGTAGTCGATTATCGGCTGCCAGCTGCACAAAATGAAAGGAGGAGGAGGAAAAAACAATGGTCATGAGTGACAATTCAAGGTTGTGCAGAAATAGCAACCACTTTGAGTAATCAGGCTCAGAGACTACGACTTATGCTGCCTGTCATAGGTGACCTTAAAAACCTTTATGTGGATGATCAAACAAAGGCTTTTTGCATAACATGAATGTCTGGACTAACTTAAATTAAATATCATGGTTTTGCATAACAGAATTATGACACATTTATGTGGCCTGCAGTAATGGGGACAACTGGGTTTCTCGTGTTTGTACCTAAATTCATGCAGGTAAATTTTTTCTTGCAATTTTCCACTATCACAATGCGGCCCTCGTAGCCTAAATAAAATTGATATCCAAGTTTAAAGCGTTGGGCAAAATAACAAATAAATATTACAAAAACATTACTTCATCTGACTTTCTGCATTGCACACATTGTTTTGGAAGGCAAGCAAGATAGTGGCAAAGAAGTGACAGAACTGAGCCTCACCACTGAGTGTTGTCAACTGCATCGCCAAAGCCCGGTGTGTCTACAATGGTCAGTGTTAGGTTGACACTGCCTTCTTTTAGAAGAACTCTAGTGGTCTCCACTTCTACGGTTTTCTTTACACGGTGAGATGGCCCTGGGTATTCATTTGAGTAGATGTCCGTCAAGAACATAGAATTGATGAGCGTTGACTTTCCAAGTCCAGCTTCACCTGCATAAACACCCACCAGTGATTTGGTTGCGCAGATAAAAAAATGTCATCTATTTGGCTAGATAAGACAGCGCAACCAAAGTCTTTTGTGACTGCCCACTGAAGAGCTTGGTAAGGCCATGTTTTGTGCTTGTCCCAAAATCCCAGGATTACATAAATGCTGTGCCAATGCTGCATCCACAAATAGGAACATCAGTGCAGGTAGTATAAAAGATTGGCAAGACTACACTGAAAGCTTGTACATGCAGCAGTTACTGTATTTACTCGACTGTAATGCGGGCACAAATGTAATGCTACGGGCGACTTTCCATTGCGTCCAGGAAGAAAAAATTGTTATTTCAGCATTTCATTGTAATGCAAGCGTTAACTTTAGGTAGTGAAAATCTGAAAAAAAAAAAACTTATTGAATTCGAGTAAATACAATAGTAACATTATTTTAGACCATTAGGAGAGCATTAATTCACTGGTACCTTTCAATAAGGTAAAAAAAAAAGACTATATTTAGTTGCATAATAGGTCATGGTGCAACATAAGCTGTAAATAACACTTTTTCTCGTTATGCTGAAATAACAGTTTTGTGCTACCTCTAAGTGCACACATGCAGGTAGCAGGTTAGAATAACTTTTGGTTCAAAGCTTTCTGCACATATTAAAATACAGAGGTACCCATCAGCACAAACTGCCCCATCAAAAGTATAGTCTAGCATGCTCACTGTGGCAAGCTTTGACTTTTCATTTTATGAGCGAAGTGAGCTACCGGTGGGACACTCTGCATATCTTCCAGGTGTGCCATGACCCAACAGTGGGTCACCGGTGGGTCATGGCATCTAACACCTGATAAAAATTTCTTATTTACAACCTCTTGCAACAAGAATCGCACCTTTGCATTCATGTTTGATAAAGTTATCCCATCAGCAAGCAGATGCATGGTCGTAACATTGCGGCCGCATAGGAGGAGCACAGCTGTGACCCATCGGTGACATACGCCGCAGTGAATGTGTTAATAAAATACTCTTCATTAAAGATGTGTGTGTTTAAGATGAGCTGTGGTGTTTCTCCTGATGTGTTCCTCTGTTTACAAAGCAGCCAACTGCAGATAAGATTTAAAACTAATCCTTTTTTCACTTGCTTCCTTTTTTTTTATGAACATGCTTTTAGAACAGAACAAACTTAATTATGGCCATTGAAGTTGATAATAATGATAACAATCTGCACTGCTTATAAGTGGCGAATAAGCTACCAAGCTCCTTTAGTAATATATGAGATAAGCTGCTTCAGATTTACAGCAGATGCAATGGTATGGCAGTGGCCAGCTTGACCAATGTGACAGAACTTGGCAAATAACAGCCACTATCAGGCCATTGTCAGTCTAAATTTGAGCTTCTCACGACAACTCCTCTTCAGCCAAGCTCAAAAAGATTGGAAAAGACAAGTGTTGTGACAAGCTTTCTAGTTCCATTGATTTTTTGATTGGTATTTGTACAACACATCTTGTGTTGGAGTTGCCTGCCACAATTCAATATATGCACATCTCACCTAATGAGCTTGCATTTACAGTAGGTTCACAGATTTGAACATGCACCTTTATTTTGCAGATCAAAAGCACTGACCAAGCCCGAGACGATGAAAGAATGTGTGTGCACAAGCGTGCAGTCAAAAATAAAAAGCTAACACTAAACCTGACAGAGAAGGGCAAATGAATGATTTACCAAAGGAGCATAAAATGACTTGGAATACCAATACAATAAATTAGAAAATGTAAAACACTGTGCACATGTTATGTCCAATAACATACAGCTAACCATACAGCTAACCAATAACACAAAGCTTAACCATAGGTGCCGGCTGGGGGGTGCAAAAGGGGCCACTTGCCCCCTCAAGCCACACCAGCAGTTGCCCCACCCAAACTACACCAGCGCTCTCCCCCTCCCCCAGCCGCGATGCAACACTGGTTTGCAAACTCCAAGACACAATCCTGACAGCGCTCATGCACTTAACACCAGGCACGTCGCTATGAAAAAAATAGATGGTGGTCGTGTTTAGGAGGAAGAAAGGAAAAGACACTAATTTCCGCAACCCATTTTGAAGCAGGACTAAGCGCCATCAAACTCGATGCGCGCGCGCGCGCGCGCGCGCGCGCACGCACGCACGCACGCACGCACACACACGCACACACACACACACACACACACACACACACGAAATTTCAGTCACACGTACTCAACAGACGTAGGGACAAGACCAACGAAAACGCCTGGAGCAACGACAGCTGTTAACAGGCGCGGACCCGTAAGTATTGAACAACAAGAACAGAAAAAAAAACGTTGGGGGGGGGGGGGGATGAGATATGTGCGGGCATGGCGCGGCTGTGACGGCCTGTCCTGCGCCAAGCGCACACGTGTTCACGGCGCGACGGGTGATGCGCAGAAAGGCGGCGAGAACAACGGCCACCGTTATTTCCGGACGATAGGGAGATCAACAGAACGCGGACACAACGGCGCCGCGTCGGCTCAGCGTGTTAGGAGAGGAGGAGAACATCTGCGCATTCATGGACGGGCACGTGCGGCAGCAAACGCTATACACCATAAGAAAGAGCGCGGAATGACGCAAAAATAGAAATAGAAGAAAGCTGGGGCAAAGCAGCGCGATTAGAAAAGCAAGTGATGTCAAGACTGATTTCATAAGCAGGGCGGCGGCACAAAACGACTGAGGTGATGCTGCTCTTGCGAAGGTGCGTACTCACCGACAACCATAAGCGTGAACTCGAAGCCCTTTTTGACTGCCTTGCGATAGACCTGGTTGGGCAGACTGGCGAATCCCACGTAGCCCTCGGCAACCTCGCGGCTCCCGGCAGTCGAAGAGGAAGCGTACGACGGCGGTGCCGTCCCGCCTCCCGACGAAGACAAGCTGCCGGTCGAGTCCTTGCTCAGGCCCAGCAGGCCGCCGGGCGCCGCCGGGGGCGCCGGTCCGTCGCGGAAGAACAGCTCCCGCTTGGTAGACAGCTGCACCGGGTGGGGAGAGAAAGCAGCACTCAACAGCGGCTTCAGTGTCGAAAGACACGCATGCCGTCACTATATTCGATAGCAGGGCAGTTTACCGGAAGGAAAAAAACCCCGAGCATGCATCTTATCTGACTGACGACTCCATCACGCACGACAGTATATTCAACGATTACGGCAGAGCATCACTGTACTTCTCACAGTACGCAGCGCAGACAGGATAGCTTGACCCATTAACTACGTTGACTGTAGTAGTTATTAGCTGTCACGCGCGAACAAATGTCAAAACATAACAAGTCCACCAACAGCGGCACAGCTCCTAAGTGCGTAACCAGGCGACTGCCATGACATTCGTAGCCAACCTACAGATCCGTATTTTGTAGCCACGTGCCCCTTCTCATCCTTTTCCTTACAACTTTTTGGCGTGTTTCTGTAGGTCGTTTATTGAATACAACCCTGTACATTTATTATGCCCGAACGCGTGTATGAGTTAGGATTGAATGAATATCACTTATATTAACTTCTCCGTCCCGAAATCGCAGCCTGCTTCTCGCTTCGTTTCCATATCAAAGAAAAAGCGACGCAGGAAAGAATGCGTGCGCGTAACCCGGAACACAGGGCGAAGACGCAATCGTGGAGTCCCCTCCGGACAAAAGAGGAAATCGAAAATGAGGAAACCACAGAACTCGGCGCAACGAGGAAACGACCACGGATCTTTGCCGAGCCCCGTCACGACCTTCGAGCCACAAAGCGACGACAGGGCGCAGTGGGGGATTTTACCCTGCCAGTTGCTCGAGAGACGCCAAATGGAGGGCTCCAGACAGTCCACCTAATCGATCAGTGTCCGCACTTGCCACCATTGCAGTGATGTTGACGTGGTCAGAAAGTTAGTAAATCTCCATAACGGCTGCGCTGCGAACAGCACACTAATATGGAGGGCGACACAGTCGTTTGGTCGTCCGTCTTGCTTTGAGACGTCAGTTGAGCCGTTAATGCAACACCGAATGTGTTTTTGTAAACTATGGCAAGCACATCCTCTGTCTGATCCCTAAACGAGACTTGAGGCATCGCAGTTGATATATTCGCTGATACACATTTAGCAGCTACAAGAAAGTGACGTTTGAACATGCCGTAGATCAACAGTGAAATGAAGGGCTGATATAATACAGCACAGCTCCTCATTCCCATTTTTAGGGGCGAAGCTCCTTAAGCCGAGGGTCGTGCGTCCCAGATGTATGTATGTATGTATGCATGTATGTATGTATGTATGTATGTATGTATGTATGTATGTATGTATGTATGTATGTATGTATGCATGCAGGTAGCCACATTCGTTTAGTCCTTGGAATGTCCGCTGGATGGCGGTACTTGCATATGATGAATATATGATGAAGAGATGCGAGATGGCGGTACTAGATAGACGAACGGACGGATAGACAGACAGACGCACAGACTGAAGTACGAACGGACTGACGGACGCTTGGACCCACCCATCATCATTCACTCCGTGCATATGCCGCGATTTTTTTTTTATCTTAATAGCACCCTGCTTGCTCGGGTACGTAGTCAGGTTCGGCCAGTCGTGACGAGTGGATGTCAGAACACATGGAACCGAGCGACCAGAACCGAGAGTCCCCCCCAAGGGCTGGCTCATTCGGCAACAACCTCACTCCCCATCCGATGGAGATGGCCGCATTCACCGGCATTCAAGCCCTTCTCAATGAGGCAATTGGTAAATGTTAGAGTGCTAGAGAGATGTTTTTGTTTTTTGCATTGTAGTGAAGTATAAAGAACCATGGCATAGTTTTTTTTCTTTACTACCAACAAAAGAAATAGAATGAATCGCTGAATTAAAAAGATTATTTGTACAACAAAATAATTACATGTACGTGCGGGCAACGGCATGAAAATATAAATGTATTCGATTAAAAAAAAAACTTTTCGGGGACCATTTCACTTCCAAGAGTCACCGACACCATACGGGCCATTCTATGATTCGTCTGATCCCCACAGCAACTCGAAATATCGCAGTGATGGTAAATTGACTATGAAGACAGCTTTTCTTGACAGCACTGTGGAAGCTACACAAGCGCACGCCTGCTGCCGCGCCAAATAATTGTACTAAAGTTTACTGACACTTTTCTCATTTGCCTTGCTGAAATGCTGCTGCACTCATTTACGAGACTCAAACAGTTGCGGGAAGTCATACATAAAACAGTTAAGGTTCGCTTTGCAAGAATGCATCCCCTTTTCTTTACATTTTCCTTCTCAGTCGGCCCGTTTTCCGGAGTAAACATGTCGTCTATGACGTAGTTAGCCCGCATCATGGTCAGTGCGCGGTCGCAAACGCGCTATCTAGTTCTCTAAGAAAAATATACTCGTAATATGGCACTAAAATGTACTATGATCCATTGAAGTGATTCTCACACTCACGTTTCAGTGTATATAATTGTCTGAACGCGTCAACGATCCGAGCGAGTGAAATACTAATAATATCCCGGGTTTGAACGTCCCCAAACCACCATATGATTATGAGAGACGCCGTAGTGGAGTGCTCCGGAAATTTCGGCCACCTACGTGCACCTAAATCTAAGTACACTCGCCTCGAATATTTCGCCTCCGTCGAAGATGCAGCCGGGATTTGATACCGCGACCCTTCGGCTCAGCAGTCGAGTGCCATAACCATTAGACTACCGCGGCGGGGCCGAACGCGTGGAACCGAAACCAGCCGCGGGCTTTCCTACGACTGGTAGAACAACACAAGTCTCCGCTCCGAGATAAGTTGTGGTGCACAAGAGATATTGTGGCGTTCGGAAATTCATACTGCACCAGCCTGCACATACTGCACGAGGCAATATTAGCTTACTGAGAAATCAAGGCCGCAATTTCGGTGGCGATGCATTCCGCCTCAATTATATCCGCCATTCTTGCCATCCACCGTGTTCACGGCCGGCTCCACTCACAGATGAATGCGAGATGGCACACCACGACACATGCTTCCCCACGTTATTTCTCCACTTTAGAATTGAAAAACCACTCCCAAAGGCATCAGTCATGAACACCACAAACGGCACAAGTCGTATTTTCTCTTCGATAAATTCCTGCACTAGAAGAAAAGGACTGAACTGATTACAGGGATACCGATATCAGTGAACAAGCACACAGCGTGATATGGCGCGACAGGAGTGGCTTTCCGTGCGCGGTCCGCAAGGTGAACTATGCAGAACAGGCAACCGGAGTGCGATGAAATCGGCTGTTTACACGGCAGGGTAAACTCCCGGCGCAAGGAGCAGGCAGCTATTGGTGCGTGAAATAACTGCGACAGCGCGAAACGAAGTGCACGAAACACAAAGCTGAAAGGCCAATCTGCGGTTCACGCTACTCACGTCCAACTCGCACGGAGTTTTCTAGCGAGCTTGTTATTAAATAGACTTGCAAGCGGCGAAACAATGTCACTCGAGTCCGGAGGGCGCTTCGGTGGCGTGCTGGGAAATTTCAACGAAACATTCCTTATCGAATCAAGAGGCTCACAGCGGCAACTTGAGCAGCCGCTAGCTGGACCAGCGTTCAAAGACCCGTACAGTGTGAAGGGGAAAACATAAAACGTGTGACACTCGACTCTGGAGATGGATATACAAGACAGCCCCGTTAGAGAAAGACGCATGGAGACAGAATTTCCCCACGCCAAATTTAAACACGGAAGTACATGAATGGGACGACACCAATCTGACCTTTTCGCTTATCTTTTTTCGTGTAAGCGAAAAAAAAAAAATCACTGCTATTTGCTCGATACCTACACTGGCAGATCTCAGTTTAGCATGACTATGTTCTAATTACTTCATGATTGATATGTGGGGTTTAACGCCCCAAAACCACTATATGATTATGAGAGAAGCTGTAGTGGAGGGGTCCAGAAATTTCGACCACCTGGGGTTCTTTAACGTGCAACCAAATCTGAGCACACGGGCCTACAACATTTCCGCCTCCATCGGAAATGCATCTAATTACCTACTTCATGATTGATCAAATGACCTAACAAAACCACAGCTCGACGACATCAATATTCTACCGAGTAATTCAGTGTCAGCCTTCGGTGGACAAGATGTTAAAAGTGCTGAACAATGTTATACTGCACTGAGCGTATGCAAGAACTGAAGACAAGAGCTAGTGGAAACGCACGTGGAGAAAGTGGGCAATCGCACTGCTCGCGACAGCCTGGAGATTGGGCGATGGGCGCCACGGCGGCGAGTTACCCATTCAACAGCCAACGCAGCTGTGCCGACGTCTGAATAGATTGGTGGCACACACTCACGGAGCTGGTCAAGGTCAGGGCCGTGAAGGATGGCGGCTGCGGTGGCAGCGGAGGCGGCTGCTTTTCGGGCAGTGGCGGTGGGGACGAAGAGCGCGACGACGACGGGCTCTCGTAAACTCGAGGCCGACCGGAGAAGCGCTCGAGGCCCGCGTAGCGGTAACCCAGCCGGGCGGTGGGCACGTCGGCCGCCCCAGAGGACGCCGACCGGCGGGGAAGCGCCGGCATCGGTGCACACGACGACTCCACGGGACTCAAGCTTTATCCGAGGAATACGGAGCTTCGCTCAGACGCCGCACTACGAACGATGAGAGGTCCGACACAACCCAGCGGTGCTTTGGGGGCCAAATGATTTGTCAGACAGCCAGAGCGGACGCCGCGGCACCGGGTGCAGTGCGGCTGGCAGAGCCGGCGAGAGACGCGCAAAGCCAAACAGGGAGAAAAGAAGCGAGGGAGGGGTCGAGAAAAACTGAAACCATGCGAGGAAATGGGCGAGGAGAGACAACGGCGAGAGGGGGGGGGGGGCTAGAAAGAGAGCAAGCAACATGCATGCCAGCCCCCACGCCACCCGGCCGAAAATACGACCCCGGCCATGCGGCGAGCACGCAAAGAGCGCGCCACGGCCGCCCCCGCCCCACCGCCCTTCCACCATAAGGACGACCAGACTTCCGACAGGGCTCGACAGCGAAAGCTT